AGTACAGTGGGGTCTCTACTTAAGAAGGTCTCTATTTAAGAATAATCCAACTTAAGAACAGCTCCATTTGCTAAATTTTGCTTCTACTTGAGAACAGAAATCCAAGATAAGAACAGGAAAAAAAACCTTTCCTGCTCTTTTTTTAACCTTAGGTCATCTTAGGTTAAAAAAAATTCTCCCCCTAGTGGTAGAGTACGTATTAACCAGCTTTGCATTAGTTCCTATGGGAACTAATGCTTCAATGTACGAACACACCTCTACATAACAAAAACACAGCCAGAACGGATTAATTGGTTTTCAGTCCATTCCTATGGGAAATTTTGCTTCAACTTAAGAACATTTCAACTTAAGAACACCATTCCAAAATGGATTAAGTTCTTAAGTAGAGGTTCCACTGTAGTTTCTATGGACGGAAAAGAGCAGATACGGATTAAATGGTTTTTAATGCATTCCTATGGGAAATGCAGATTCAACATAAGAACTTTTCAACTTGAGAACCACCTTCCAATATGGATTAAGTTCTTAAGTAGAGACCCCACTGTACAGCCGTCTCCTATTCCTTTCCCAATTTTGAACCAATCGGTTGTTCCATATCCAGTTCTAACTGTTGCATCCTGTTCCCCATATAGATTTCTCGATAGACAGATAAGGTGTTCCAATGGGATACTTCCAATGGGATGGACGTATGGAAATGTGAAACTAGCCATTTTTCAAGTCTATTGTCATGAACCAATCATCTTTCCTCAGGAGGGGAAGAAGATCACTCACAGCCGTGTAAAGATTGGCAGTAGAGTGGCAGAAGACAAAATAAAAGGTAATATTGATGGTAAACTGGAGATCCTGTGTGGCACATGTAAATTCAACCATATGAGAAACTGTAGCGATCTATACTGATACTATGATGTACAGTATGATGTGAACAGCAAAGGTATTAAGTCAGAAGCAGGCAAAGCAGATTCAGAACTGAGGTAAATTTGCTGAGGCCTGCTTAGGCATGTGCAGTGGAGCATACAGGGTATGCTGCAAAGTGCTCTGCACAGGTACAAGACCTCTACATGGGACCCACAGGGACCACAAAATACAAGAATTATTCTGTTGATTACAAAGGAGATTCTATCACTAATGTGCTTTGAGATTAAACTTATTTTGTCTAATTCATGCGAAATTTTTTTGTCTAATTCATTCTAAGTGGGGAAAATAAAGAGTTCTAAAGGGGAGGAAAAGGGAAGAAAGTGTAGCAAATAGGTAATTAACTCAAAAGTAAAATATTCCACAGCACTGTATTTGTGACTGTGCTGTTACATGCTTTTTGAGCCTTTCAGTGCGGTTTCTAAAATTCAAGGAAATTATTTTGCCTCTTGAAACAGCTGATTTTACTTCTTCGTAATTGAGGACTATGCATTGTATCAGTTAGACAGCATATGCTAAAGTAAAATCCAGCATTCAGGGCAATTTTGGCCAGACTGTTAAGTATTCTACTAATGAACATCAACATACGTAGTACAGATATATGGCAGACACAAAGCAGATCAAATGCTCACTTTTCAATTAATACACATGGGTTTTCGTCAACATCTGGGCAACTAGTTCTTTGCCTAAATAAAATCCAACACTTGTGCTAATGAGTTTGCACACACATATGTGCATACACAAACTGGCATACTCACGACATAATTCCCAGGTGACGCAGAAGAATATGGTATCTAAAGGGGAAAAAAGAACAAACTAAGCTTTTTTAAAAAAGGAAGCACTGATTTTCACCTTAACTTTTAATTTTAAAACCAGTTTCCAAAAAGAAGAGAACAATGAAATCAATGAACCATGAAATCCATGGCTGAAATCCAATAGAGTAGGCTCACTGAATCAGTAGGGAGCTGGTGAGTAAACAGCTGTGTGAATTCCACTGATTTAAAATACCTACTCTGGTCAGAAGTTACTACTGATTTCACCCAATAAACATCATTTAACTGTACTCATAATTCCCACTAATTAAATCATGTTAAAAGAAGTCTGAAGAGTAGCTCATTATTGATTTTCCATGTTAGCAATTGTCTTCTGGCAACATTTTCAATTATGAATACTATATATGGTAAATTAGCACAATTAAGAATGAAACAATATTAAAACACTATTAAGTGTTCACAATAATAGAAAGTATTTTAGTCCACATTTATAAATAAAACAACAAAGGCAGAGCACTGAATCAAGAGCAACCCAACAATTGGGTATCAAAAAAGTTAATACAATGGACACGGCAGCATGACAACTGGGAAAAAACAACAACCATTCCTAGATAATTTCAGCTAAAAGACAATAGGCAATTATATTACCTCAGTAGCAAACTCTCTGAAACATGAAGGACTTTATTGGATGTCCCAGGGCAAGGAAGTTAAAAAAAATTGAACCCTTAGTTATTGTAATGAGAGGAACAAAGAACTATGGGCATCCTCTGAAAAGGTTCTAGATTGTAACCACCTTCAAGAACTTTGGAAGGCAGAAAACACAGCATTCCTGAACCAGAAGGCATTCATGCTGATAAAGTTATAAAGTGAGGAATGCATTATGTGCTTTTATTATTCTTGTTTTATACTATAACATATACTCACGGAATTGGCATTTGTCGGGTTTGGCCAAGGTCTACCACCTCCTGGTCCCCTAAAATGTAGAAAATCACACAATAACTGAGTCTGAGTCAGCTTTGACTTTTGACTGAATATTTTTCTCTCTCTAATTAAGAAGAGAAGAGTACTTGATTTCAGGTAACTGTTTTGTATGATAATACCAATTAATAATGAAATTATTTAAAATATAATATTTTGTATAGCACAGGAGCAATACCATCATCAGTGGCAGACTGCCACTCATTAAAGACTTCTTTTTTGAACTTCAAAGTATGACAGCTTACACATAATGAGATGAAACTGTGTGAACCCTGGAATTTAAAATATAAGTCTTTAAGCAGCTGAAATCCCTCTGTGATAATGACATCATTCCTGATGGGCAGGCAGAAATGGCCAATGGGATTTTGGGTGATGTCTTACTGCACCTGATGAAAAAAGACTTGTCTTTCCAAAACCACACACAACAAGCTTGTTAGTTGCTAATATGTCACAAGACCATGCCTTTTCACTACTGTATGCTGGCTGTCCTTACTAGTTTCCTGTCAGCAGAACTGGTTAGAATCACAGAATCATAGAATAGCAGAGCTAGAAGGGACTCAGAGGGTCATGTAGCCCAAACCCCTACCAAAGCAAGAGATCCACAGCTAAAGCATCCCTGTCAGATAGCTATTGGACTTCTGTTTTAAAACTTTCAGTGAATTTAACCCCCACTCCCCAATCTTCCAAGACAGTTTATTCCACTGTCAGATAGCTGCTCTTACTGCCAGGAAGTTTTTTTTTCCTTCCATGTTTAGACAATATCTCATTTCTTGTAATATGAATCCATTGTTTCCAATCCTTTTGGAAATGCAGAATATAAGCTTGCTCCACCTTTCACATGACAGCCCTTCAAATAGTGAAAGATGGCTATGGCATCAACTCTTCGCTTCCTCATTTCCAAACTAACAGCTCTTTCAAATATTCTTCACAGGGCTTGGTTTCCAAATCTTTTACTATCTGGACCCCTCTGATTTGAACACATTCCATCTTATTGATATTTTTCTTAAACTGTAATGCCCAGGTTTGGTAAAGTGAAAATGAAAGGCAAATAATTTATTTCAATTGTTTATTAAGGAGTAACTGATGACCTTGGGTAGCTAAGTTGCTTAGGTTCCTTCAGTGGCATTCTACACAGAGATATCTGGCTTCACAAGAAACCTTTTAATAACTGACATCTACGCACAGAGTTGTGAAATGCTTATCTTTCTCTGCCATAGGCTAATGAAACTATGTACAGAAAGGGGAGAGACTGTACCTCCTCACATAATCATCTTTTTTTAAACAACTGCATCTCTAGTAGTGAGACCAATTTTCTTCTTGAAAAACATTTAGATAATGGAAAATCAAGCAAGAAGAATTTCTAAGGGGATGGGGAATAAAAGCACTTTAATACCTACCTACATGAGGATAGAAAAGGTCTTCTTAGTGGTTGCCACAACACTCTGAAATACTCTGCGCAGAGTATCTCCCTTTCAATTTTCAGAAAGCTAGTCAAAACAGAGCTCTATAAAGAAACCTTTAAGAACACCCTTCCCCTGCTGTAGATATTGTTTCAACCAAATTTAATTTTAAAACTTGAAATTCTGCTCAGCAGTTGCCATTTTTAAAAAAATAGTTATTTGCTATATGTGTTTTTTATTACTCCTTTCTTGAGGTGGGGTTTTTTGGGAGATTTTCTATGTGGATGTGAACCACACAAAGTAGTGGATTTGCATTAGATGGATGTGGCGTCCACCCTCGTGCCCCTTTGCTTGACCTTCAAGCCTCTGAGTACACAAAGGCAAACACTCTCTTCTTTTACACTTGCTGCCACCAGGTGATCTCTAAATCACCATTACTTCAGAAAGGTTCAGGTCCACACTTCAATTTCTTTTAAATATAGTTACAGTTTATTAATTACTGTACATAGATTGATTCATGAATATCTTCAGTAGTTAATCATTCCTCAGAATTTCCCCAGACTACATACTCTATTACTCTGTCTGGCTTTTTTCTCCTGCCTGACTCTTACATTTCTCTAACTGACTTTAACTAAATCTGACTCTGATTCTCTGACTCCACCTCTTATAGCATCTCTCTTGGCTCCGCCTCTCAGCAACATGAATATTCATAAACCATTACATCATACAACAAGAACCATAGATCTAATAAATGGAGAACGCTACAAGGGACAGTATAGAAATGTAATAAACAAATAAATAAATTTGATCAAAGACATCTACCACACATGTACACATTAATACATCTTACTGCAATTAGATTTTAACAACAACAAAAAGATAACTATCCTTACTATAAATCTTCTAGTGGCATACCATATTACTTACATGTTCATTCCAGGCATCCCAGGACCACCTAAAGCATTCAGTGGCGGCCTCATTGCACCTCCATAGTTCTGCAATGATAACCAAGGGTCAGACTACCACAAAACAAAAAAACAAAACCAAAGAGGAGGGGGGAAAGAAAGGACAGCAGGTTAATGACTTCCCTAACACATCTGCTGATTGGATAGGCCAGTGCTATACTGTACATCTTCAGGATTTTAGTGGCTTTGATTTGGAAAATAATTATTATTCCTACACTATCATTAATTTAAAGAAAACTATTTAGTATTTCCTAATACTTGTGTTATTTTATCAATGGAAGTGTAGTAAGCATTCTTAACAAATACTCACTCCACTTATTTCATTTAGGCTAGTACCGTTGTCAGGAAGGACCAGATTTAATGTCCATCTGATAAAAGCTGATTCGATATTCTAAAAACATTTAAGAACTTTCAGTTCGTTTGTTTTTTTAAGATGTCTTACTCAGCATTTACTTTTAGTAATGTTTACAGCATGTGGTTATATTAGTTATTATGATTGCTATGTCTATTTAATAAGCCGATTACAGAAATTAACAGGAAAATTATTCAGGAGACAGAATCTTCTAAAAGATGTCCCCCAATGAATCTACTCAACAAACCTGTATTCTATAGTTTATGCTCCAACTACACAAGCACACAAACAATTTGACAGTATGATATGGTCCTGGGGCCTGTTATATAATACTGAGATCTCCCAGAAATATATAAAATTAATTTGCTTCTGTAATTTTCAGGTTGAAATTAATCTTTATCAACAATAGCCACAAAACCCCACTGCACTATAATGTTAAACTGTAGTCAAAACTACATAAAACTGTTTAAAAGTATTGTTCTAAAGAACTTTACTGTAACAATGTATGAAGCATTTTAAAGTGCTATCTGTCTAGCAATGCTGTTCTATAGCTTCTGTCTCAAAAAGGCTTGTATTCTGAGGGGCCCACCCAGGTTCCTTTGAATGGAATTTATGATTATTCAGTAATGGAGCTTCGTGGATTATTTTCTCGGTGTAAGAACACCATGTTTTTACTAATGATAACCAAGTGACAAAGTTCATGACTACTGCCATTTATAAATAGTGGTTGAATAGTGTATGAGAGAGCGAGCAATTCATCAAAAGCTACTCAATGCACCTGTAGTTAATTCAAGGATAAATTTAGTTAGTTATTTTTGACAGACTATCGCTAAAATTATTTTTTCTGCATAAAGGTCATTTTATTATCCATTTCTTTACTACAGTTTAACAGTTTCAAAAACAAGAGGCTAAATCCAGTATTAGTCCCAACAAGACATATTAAAATCAGTTTATTTGTGGAACTTGAAAGTAGAGCATTTAAAAAATAATTGATTCTTTCACATATGTTTAATAAAGCCAAATGTATAAAAGGTAAAGGCCATCTGAAAAAGTTTCCTACTAAAATGATTCAGGACGACAAGGCAGCTAAGAACATAAAATTTGAAAAGGCCCTGAAAAATGGTGAACAAACAGCCAGGAATAATCCAACTGTTTCTTCTTTCTAAAATATATTTTGCATTTGTTTCCGAAATAGCTAATACAGTTCAACTCAATGTTAGGTTAAAACGAAATGCTGTTTCCATGTGTAACTTTAGTTAGTGTGCAACTTTACTTGACATTTTATAATGCTTTCTTTGTTTTACAAAGAAATAATTTTTCACACTGCTGTTTCTTAAACTGTGTTCTGGAAACACTGCAGCTTGTCCCAAGTTCTTTGTACTCCACAATATTGGCTCCTATATATGGCAATTCACTTACAGAATTGGTGAAGTCCTATTGCTTAGTATAATAAAGTACAACTACAGTAAGCCACATTGAATCAATGGGGTCTGGTGAGTAAATGCCTCCTTAACTTCAATTGACTCATTGGATCTAGTTGCATCTTATACTAAACAACGGGATTTCAATCATTATGGAATCAAAGATCCATGTACAGAAGCAGTATTACTTCCATATAGTTGATGTGGATAACTGTAAAAAAGGTCATCTTCATATCCTATTTCTAAGTGTCTAGACTAGAGGCATCTTTCTGGCCACTGCTGAAAACAGAATACTGAACAATATGGACCTTGGTCTAATCAACCGAAGGGTAATTCCAGGGCATGGCAAGCACATTCTGTGTGAAGTAATACCTTTATATGCAATAATTACAATGGTGCGTAACTTTACCACATGACTATACATTCTTATATACTTAAGAAAAATGAAAATTCCACTAAATGTGAACATGTGAATTGCCAAACAAGCATTATACCTGAGGTCCTAACGGAACCATTCCTCTGGGAGGAGTCATTCTCTGCATTGGTCCACCCATATTTGGATGACCTGAAAAGACACAAGGCATTTTAGGGCCACCACTCTGAATCAATTGATCAGATGAACTTACTGAAGTTTGGTTGTTCTGGGTTTTTTGGGCTCTTTGGCCGTGTTCTGAAGGTTGTTCTTCCTGATGTTTCGCTAGTCTCTGTGGCCGGCATCTTCAGAGGACTGGAGTTCCTACTCCAGAACAACCTTCAGAACACGGCTGAAGAGCCCGAAAAACCCACAACAACCACTAGATCCCGGTCGTGAAAGCCTTCGCGAATTACTGAAGTTTGTTTATGAGCAGAGTGATAATTTCAATCAGATAAGAGACTGCTCACAGCTATTAATTTTTAATGATATTTTAAAAAAGAAATACGTGGCAGGTGAGGTGCTATTATAGATAAGCTATTTCTTTATTCTTACACAGATGAGAATACTTCTAAGATTGTGATTGCCACAACAATATTTGCAAGCATTACTGAAAAATTAAGAATGCCCCTCTTCTTTAGAACATTAGCTTAATAAATATGTAAAAGAAATTAACATATTATTAAACTTCACCCTGAGCAACCTATTTATTGTACCCAAGTCAGGAAGTGCATCCTTCTTTTTGCATCTGAGTAAACAATAAAGTAAGATTTTAAGCCACTTCTTTGGGAGATAATGGTGCTACACAATATTCACTCATTATACAATAAGTCTGCAAATATTTCTTTAACTTGGTGACAGTGCTATATAATACATTAAACTATAGGATATGCTTACGTTTATTCAGAATGATTACAGAAAAGTAACTAATAAACTCTAATGACTGCTGAACACAGCACTACATTCTATTTCTTTAACTTGGTGATAGTGCTATATAATACATTAAATATAGGATATGCTTATGTTTATTCAGAATGATTAGAGAAATGTAACTAATAAATCCTAATGACTGCTGAACACAGCACTACATTCTCTGTATGTTATGGTTCTCAAGATGCACCCCAAGTAACACTAACTTACAAAAGGAACATGACGTGAAGTATGCAAGGAATCTGAAACACCAAGGCCTTGCAAACAAAGGCCAATACCCGATTACAGTAATGTGGAACAGGTGGGTAATCACACAAGTCTCACCCCCATTCTGAGAGCTCCCCATTGTGAGATTAACTGCATGGCCCATCTCCCAGCCAGTGCAAGAACAGGTACCCAAAGAGACCCTAACCGAGGAAATAGACTGCCTTTCCACTACAGGTTTCTACAATAGGATACTGCCTAAAATTTTTAATTCCGCTCAGTTTTGATAAGATACATATAACTGTCTGAAAACAGTTGTCATGATGCAAATTAGACAACAAACCAAATTATCAAAACTCAAGAGTAAGTCACAGTAGTTGCCTATTTTATATTGAGATGTGATTGCGTTAAACAGTTTCCCTCTTTCATCATCTGCTCATATAACATGCATAAGAAAAATTGCAGAAACGTCCCACCTGCTGTCCCATAGAGACACCCAATACACCCTCTAATTTTCAGCCCTGTTGGGCAGGGCTCTACCTCTCTCTCATGAGACTTCACCCCTGCGTTCCATTGAACCCAACATGATCGCTGTGCGGGGGAGGAAGAGAGCTATGCACAGGGAGGCACAGGTTAAAACATGCATGCGGGGCATACAGGCAACTTTGGTGACATCCATTTTTTCCCATTCATCCAAAGACCTGACTGCACTGACAAGTCAAAGCATTATATCTGAAGTGGCATCTTTCATCTACTGACAATACTGTTACCTTGTTGCCGTGTTGGATCCATTCCACTAGGCAATAATGGCTGACTTCCTGGGACACCTCCAAGTGCCTAGAAAGAAAAACACCAACAGGAAAAGTCGTATTTTTTTTTTGCTGAGAAAAATGTCAACAGCATTTTAACAGAATAAGAAAGGATGTTTATTTTGCAATATATGCTACCAACTGTAAAATAAAAACAGCAAATGCAATCCCATGAAAAGTTTCACAGCGAAGCGTATGCAGTCTGAATTGATAAATCTCTAAATTCTTTTCCTTACATTTTTAGGGAGATGGGCTCAGATTTTCCTTAGATATTCAAAGAATCGATAATGATTTCAAAATATGTCTGACTTTTGGATTAACATTGCCGACACAATTATTTGATGTTAATAAATACACATTACTACAAAAGTCCTATACGAAGTTGAGTGGATATACAGAACTGCTGGATACTTCAGTGGTTTAGGTATCTGGACACACAGCCAGAGGCTGGGAGTTCAATTCCCCACTGTATCTGCCACCGGGTCCTTTCCAGCTCTGCAGGTCACATATATATGTATTTAACCGTGATGTTTTTTAAAAAAACTTACATAAAATAATGTAATAAATACAATAAATGTACCTGTATTAATCAATTATTTTAAACTGACCAAATATTTTTATTTTTAAAATACCATACACCACCTCTATTTGAAAAATGCTTCATACATTTGCTTCATGACAAGACAAAACAAGTGTCAGGGACCATTATATGAGATTACTAAGGGCAAAGGTGCTAAGGCTCCCTGATAACAATTGTGTAGCTTTTCGAATGCTAAGGAAGGCTTATTATATTTGGTCCCTGCAAACTGATAAACTATAAAGCATGGACGCTGTATGACTCTAACCCTTACAGATGGCATTGCAGCTAAAGGATGGCATTACTGATGTTGTCTGTTCACAAAACATTTATTGGTTGTTGTGGGTTTTTTGGGCTCTTTGGCCGTGTTCTGAAGGTTGTTCTTCCTGACGTTTTGCTAGTCTCTGTGGCCAGCATCTTCAGAGGACAGCACGGAGTGCGAAACGTCAGGAAGAACAACCTTCAGATCCCGGCTGTGAAAGCCTTCGCGAATACAATACATTTATTATTTATTTATTTTATCCTGCCTTTCTGCTTGAAAAGGACCCAAGGCAGCTTGCAACAATGAAAGACAATATTTGAAGTGGAAAACAGAGTTTGTAATAGAGTTTATTTCACATCAAACAGCTGCATTATTTTAATAGTTTGTATAAATTATTGCACCCAAAATAAACTTCTGCTTTCAATGCTGAGTGTTCTTTTGCTTGCCATTTAATCTGCATTTCACTAGGGAAAACATTGTTACCTGGTTGGGTATCCTTAAAGGTGGCCGTGGGCCTCCGGGATATCGGGGGGACATGAAAGGCTAACAAAAGAGATAACAGCATTAAGAATGTGCATACAAGCATTTTTAATAAACTGTTTGTAAGACATGTGTATTAACTAACACTTCCAATAACAATAATAGCACATTGTCTGAGCTACACCAAATGTCCTTATACAGTACTTCTGCTTAACTTATAAAGACTGGTTACTATTGAAATTGTGTGTTAACACTTCCACTAACAAAAATAGCACATTGTCTGAGCTGCACCAAATGTCCTTATACAGTACTTCTGTTTAACTTATAAAGACTGGTTACTATTGAAAACCAGAGACATTCTGCGCCACTATGCATCAGCATATCCTGCCCCAGAAAAATAAGACACTCCCCACTTCAGTGATGTGTAACTATCTCCCAATTAAAATTAGAAATCAAAGAACGGCCACATTCCAGATGTTATGCTCAGCCATTCACTCTAGCTTAATAAAACACAATATGAATATGCAGTGTGCTAGGCCATCACATGGAAAGGGAACTTTGTGCATGTGCTTGCAGGAATTGGGAATGAGCTTACAACTGGTGTTGTAATATATAGCACAGTCGCTATGCACAGCGGGCTGCATTCTTTTAAAATGAAGGGGGTTGGTTGGTGTAAGACCTCAGGGTAACAAGCACCAAGGTATGTGGGTACAAATCTAGGGTACAAAGCAGTACAAATCAGTGAAAACTGGTCTATTAGGGAAGCCTCACTCTTTATGAGTGAATGAGTGTGAGGGTGGAGTGGGGAGATCAAGTATCAGAGTGAATGATTGCCTGCTTCTTTGTATATGAATTTCTGAGAGAGAAGGCCTGAGCGTGTAGCGATACCAATTTTTGCCCCGGCATTCCTCATTATTGACTGTCATGCGTTCTGTCTCATTAGTCAAGGATCATCAACAGCTACCATCAGATAAATCTGAGATAAAATTTATCAAGAATATATAAAAGATTTGTGCCTTGCTCCTCATGCTCCCCACTGCTTGGCATATAATTGAGAATATCAGCAGAGATTGAGTAGTTGGCAACTAGAAATGACTCAAGTGTTATAGCTTTTGCCTTCCACATACGTAACAAAGCAACAAGATTTCAGCCATGATCTAAAACACTACGTTATCAAAAGAACTAAATCACTAATGTAACCAATTTCAAAGGTTTAAATAGAGTCTCACTGTTGTCAGACTCTCATCTTTGTACAGTAGACCTTCACTGACAGATTACAGTGGTGCCTCGCTGTAATCTTTTTGCCATCGCAAGAGCGATCGCTTTGCGATGGCCCTTATGGGGAAAATTCACTTTGCGATGATCGCGGGGGAGCGCTCCCCCACGATCATCGCAAAGGCCTCGCCGGTCAGCTGTTCCAAAAAAACAGGCTTTGGGCTGCTCATGGGGAAGCACTTCGTTGGGAGCAGCCCAAAGGCTCGCTTTTTGGAACAGCTGACCGGCGGGCGTTTGGGCTGCTCAATAACAAGTAAGCAAGTCCAAAGAGGCCATGGCTAACAGTTTGCACATGATTCATTAACTGAGGGACCAGTTTCTTCAGGATATATTTAACTAGTTCCCCAAATCAATTCTGTTGCCTCTACGTTGAGACTTGTCAGACTACAGTGGTGCCTCGCACTACAATGTTAATTCGTTCCAGCGAAATCGCTGTAGAAAAATGTTGTAATGCAAAATTAAAAAGCCCATAGAAATGCATTAAAACCCGATTAATGCATTCCTAGGGGCTTGAAACTCACCGTCCAGCAAAGATCCTCCATAGGGTGGCCATTTTTGCTGCCTGTGCAGAGAGGAATCTGTCCCAGGAAAGAGTGGGGGAGCCATTTTGTTTACTCGGCGGTCATTTTGAAACCGCCGATCAGCTGTTTTAAAATCGTCGTTTTGCGAGAATCGGTTCCTGAAGCAGGGAACCGATCATCACAAAGCAAAATTCCCCCATTGAAACCATCGTAAAGCGATTGCTTTTGCGATCACAAAAAGTTTGTTATAACGCAGTTTCGTCGTTAAACAGGGCGCCTGTCTTGCGAGGCACCACTGTACATAGTAGTTATGGAAATTTAGAGTGCCCTGTATTTTGGCAGGATGACCAAAAGTTCTTGAGATTCCTAATTTCTCCATATAATTCAGCCAAACCACTACAGACCTGAAAACATAAACATCCCATTCTCTTACTATCTTCCACTCCCATGTCAGCACATGCTGTCTCAGAAACAGTTTAAAAAAATCCAATGCAGTCCCATTGTTGTATTTTGGGTACCTCTTCATACCCAACAAAATGACCATCTCATTTAGAGGTAGTTACCAAACTAGCCTTTAATTCTGTTTCATTTAATTTCACATTATTCATTAAGGCACACAATCTCATGAATTCTTTTTCTCTCACCTGGAACTCCATTTTTCCCTCTGTTTCTGGTTTACCTAGTTTAAGTCATTACTTTACTTCCCACATTTCCATTTTAACTGCTGGTTCTGGTGTGGTGTCTACCCACATTCTTTGATTATCTACCCCTTTACCTCTTGCTTTTGGGTTTTCCAGTCCAGCCTGAGAGCTGTAACTGCTGTTGCATTTCCCTACTTCCTTCCTTTTCCCATTTATTTGAGGAAAAACTCAGAAATTACAGACATTTATTATCATTTCTTTTTCTTCCACATTTTCAGCGACGCCCAAATCTTTCACTTCACAGGATTATTCTGAATTTAGAGTTACTATTATCCAGTGCCTGTAAATTATCACTTTTCCCTTTTAACTATATTCTACAGTAAAATAATTCATCCACACATTTGCAACAGATATTATGGAGTTCACTCTTCATTTGTTTCTCTTTCAGCATAACACCCTCTTCCAGCTATGTGCCTTCCCTCTTCCCAAATACCAGCCCCTGGCCCACCCCAAAACAAGTCCAAGAGAAAACAGCATCTCATTTTGGACATTTTGGCAAAATAGAAGAGTGCCAATCATCCAAAACGAGATGCTGTTTTCTCTTGGACCTTCACTACTCAAATAGGTCACTGATGATGGCAAGAAGTACTGCTCTACTGAAGGAAGCATTCTTCCAAAATCTACTGCCAGATCAACAGCAGTGAGTATGTGTTGGTGGCTGTGATCAATGGGATGGAAGTATCTACCTAGTTAAGTGAAACCCCACCCTCCACCACTGTGCAGCAACCAGAAAATGACATGGCTGTATTTGAATAAATGTATAGATTGTTGTACATGAAAGAAATAAAATATCCCCTGAAAATAAGACCTAATGTGTTTTTTGGAGCAAAAATTAATATAAGACCCTGTCTTGTTTTCGGGGAAACATGGTACAAGAGGTTAAAACAAAATCCAGATTAAATCCAACTGTTAGTTCCAAATAGAGTGAATCCACTAAATGAATAGTAATTATGTCAACACTTATATAAGCCCAATTGCTTCAGTGGGTCTACTCCCACTGGGGCTCACAATTGGACTGAGTCCTAAATCTAGAATGTGAACTATATTAGATATCAGTAAGAGCTGCAGTAGGAAGGCAAGGAAGATTAAAGAAATTTGAACCTGTTTTATTTAAAAATTAGTTGTTAACCACATATAAACAAATTAATACACTGACACAGAAAAAATGTTTCAGAGTATTTACTGTATGAATTTATATTCCTATAGAAATCATAATATAGTCTTATTTGTAAATTACAGTTTCACTTTGGTGTCCATTTTAGAAAAAAAATACATAAAAAAAGAATAATATGCTGATTTCATGTTCTTGAATCTTGTTTCCCTTCCAGTGAAAATGAAAGCAGGAGAGGGGTTACCAATCTCACATTTTGCTCAAATGTCTTGGGGAGAATATCTATGCTATACATCATCATAAAACAAAATGTTATGATACCATTGTTTTGGATAGAGCAACATAAAACATTCTAGATCACAGCCTAAGCACACATGTTAAACAATTATCTCTCCTAAGAAAACAAATTATCAGGTTTCGTCTTGGAACAAGAAGCACTGCAGTTTGTGCAGGCATACAGACATTCCCCAAGAACATTATTAAAAATCATTTGATTAGTAAAATAATGACAAGACAGCAGGAAGTGAGAAATGCTATGAGGGCAATCAAGCGGTAAAAAGCAACAGGATTCTGAAAATTGTGAGCCATGAAGGAAATAAATCACTACATAGCTCCATAAGAAATGTGTCAATTTTCAGTCATGGGATAAAACCAGGACTGTCGAAAGCATGGTTTCCCAGATGGTATTGGTCTGCAGCTCCCATTAGTCCTAGTTAGAAAACTGATGGAAAGAGTTGACAGGAGTTTGACTTCTGGAAACAGTGGTATAGGAAGACCAGGGCTTGCAGGGTTAAATCCTTGGAACTTTCTGAGCAACAGACGTTATGACATCATCCACAGCCACTTTGTTTTTGTCTTTCCTCTGAGTGTAACTTAAATGCACACTGTAACTTAAATGCACAGAGGGATTTTCCTAAGAGCCATGCATTACTGCAACCTGTTCCTGTTGTAATCTGAAATATATGAGAGTCAGCTATGGAGGCTGTTATGGGGAGCACTTGCTCTTTCAAATACACCATTATACTACTACAACTCCACCATTATCTGAAAAGGCACATACTCTGCACTTTTGGAACAGACTAATGAAAAGGAAATCGAACGACAATATATGAGACTCATGTTTTAAAAATAGGGAAATCAGATAGAGAAATTGAATCTGTAAATATGAAGAATAAGATAGCAATAATCATAGATCAGGGAATTAAAGTATTCTGTTAAATACAGTGGTGCCTCGCTTGACAATTACCTTGTTAGACGAGGCAATCGCTTGACGATGAAGTTTTTGCCTATTAAAACAATGTTTTAGTAGGCAAAAATCACTTAACGATGATTGGTTCCCTGCTTCGGGAACCAATTTTTCGCTAAACGATTATTTTAAAACAGCTGATTTGCGACTCTCAAAATGGCCACCCACTGTTTAAAATGGCTCCCCGTTGTGTTTTAGGATGGATTCCT